GGAACTTCATTGTATTGAAGGGAGTGACACTAAAAACAACTCGCGAGATTTGCACATATTCGGAATTTTTTTTTTCAAAATAAACACATTATGTTTAGTAAATACATATTAAGAATGTAACAAGTAATTTTTAAGCAAAAAAAATTACCGACTATATTGGAGTAAAGCTTACTTCTTCATGACCTAATGATCGTATCTAAACCAAATTAGTATGTAGCCACCCTTAAGGTAATACATTTCGGATAGAAAAACAAATATCGAAATTGGTCCAAAGTTATGCTGTAACATACATGAAAAAATAATATTCCTGCTATTTTCTAAGTCGGCTAGAAAGGTGTTTTTAAGCGATTGAGAATAGTGAATTAATATCTTCACTTTTCATTTAAATTCTTGCTAAGACTTCCTGCCAAAATACCTGCTTATCAATTTCTTCACACGCGCGCTACTAAAATCACAAATATGCGTCTTTAGTGAGATTTTAAATTCAATATTCAATGGCCTTTTTATGTTAATTTTCAATCGACTTACTAAAGCAAAAAATGAAGTTTTTGTTGTACCAGCACGTACACTGTTGTTGTGAATAAGCTGTAGATACTTAATTGTACTTTGACATCGGCACTTCGGCACAATTCCAGTTCCACGAAGTACCTTTCTATTTGCTTATTTACATACATATATATATAGTATGCTCGCGCTAAAGAAGCAAAGGGAAAAAAATTCACACTACCTTGAAAATTTTCGCAGCAGGAAGAAAGCGTCATTCAAAACAACAAAAGGCGTAAAAAATTGCAATTGAAATAAAAGATGGAAAAGCAAAACATTAAAAGTAATGTTAGCACAAATAAATAAATGCAAGCGCACAATGAATGCCTGATAGAATACAATATACATGATAGTAATAGCAACAACATAGCCTCAAGAGCCCTTTCACCAAAACCAGAAAACAGCAGAAAAATAAGCGCGCCGCCGTCTTCAACCGCGCGACAGCCAGCGCTCGCCACGCAAACCAACACCAAACACCAATGCGCATCTTAGTTGTTGTGTAGGAAATTTGGCAACAATGCGCCCGAAAAAAGCGCCACTCTATTGCCGCCGCCACCGCCGTCGCCACGACGCAAGATCCCCCAACCCATTGCCAAATACATTGCAAGCGCGTACAGCAAGTAGAGTCGAAATATTTGAGCACCGATTTTCTCTCCTCGCCGCAAAGACGAATGCGAAAGCCAAGGCAGCGATGGCATTTTGGCTAAAGTCAGAGCGCGCGTCGTATGAGAATTCGCAAATCGCGCGAAATCTAAGCAAAATGAGCGAGATTTTAGATGCCGGCTGGTTGAGTTGCATGATTGTTGCGAATTTCACACACAGAGGCACACACACACATTTGTGCGTTTATGCTCGAACTCAGCGCTTGCACTCCCACGCATACCATTAAACCAGCGCTGAGCAAGGCGGGCCACTGAGGAGCGCGCTGCCGCTACTACTAAATAAGCGCTTGTGTTAGTGAGTTTGGTGCTTAGCTCACGCTCCCGTTGGGGGGCTGGGAAGTGGCAAGCAAGCAGGCGCTTTGACGCTCTATTGGCGCTCGCGCTGCTGTGTATACCAAACCTCTACAGCAGCAGCAGCAGCAGTTGCTAAATAATAGTTTGTATTAGTATTCGCTTTGTTTTTTTGTATATTTGTATTAGTATTGACTTCGTGTTAGCTGCAAAAAAAATTGCAATTGCTTCGTGTTCGTTTTGTGCTTTCGTACGCGCACAACTCTTTTATTTGTTTTTTTTGCTTTGGCGAAGCGCTGCGAGCAAAAACCGAAGTCGTCGTCATCGAAATCAGCAGCCAGCCATCAACAACACAGAGTTACGAAAGCGGACGCGAAAAAACGAAAATTTTGCCAACGCGTTACTTTTTTGTGGCGATTTGCAAATATTTTTTTTGCACCTTTTTGCTTTATACTATACATATTTATCACACAAAAACAACAAAAAAAGTTACAAGAAAAATTAACAGGAATAACGATGGCAATCGTGCGTGGTATAGGTTAAGAACTAATTTCCCATTAAACATTCTATTCATACAGCGCAACGCTTGAGGCTTGCCGCCCCCCGCGCCCCCCACACGCTTCTTCGCTTTAGTCTTCTCTACGTGTGCGCTCCATTTGTGCCATGCTATCTATCATTCTATGGCATTATTTTTCGTATGCTTTTGTAGCCGCAAATTCGCGAATTGTTTGCCGCTTATATCTTAGCTATACAATCTTCGCCTATTTAGTCTTTGCTACGTCTTTCTCTACCAAGATGTTAAAGCGATAAAGCGCGTCTAATCGCATTGTATGTGGTGTGTAGTTAAAGCGAATCGCCGGCTGCTCAATCGAAATACGTGTAGGTTTTGCTAGCAGAGGAATAGGCGCTATGCGCTTTGTGTTGGGGGCGCGTTTAAAAAAGTTTTATTTTCTTTTGTGAGTTGAGCACATTTTCAGCGAAACGTTCTTCCTTTAGGGTAAGGTTGATTTTTTTCTCTAGTTTTATCAGGCGAATTTCGCTGGAGTATATTCACATCTAAATTTCTTATGTCTGCTCTTTGCGGTTTGGGTTTTACCAACTTTCATTTGGTGGTTTATTTATCTAGTTCACTTCATATGTTTTTCTATGATTATTCGTATGTTGAACCAATTGTTCGACTTAATTCATATTCACCCAAAGGCAATGTACATTCTAATATGTTCAGTTAAGATACAGTGTAGCAATTCCGTTATCACAGAGGCAAATTTATCTAAATTTTTCAGCTATCTTTCACTGACAATTTTTTAGGCTTTATTGCAATTTCGATATTCCATCAAGGTCGGACGCTCTGTTGAAATAACTACTTACTCTTCTGGAGAAATAGAAAGCACTCACACGGAAGTTTTTTCTCATTTTTTCTTTTTGTCACCACCAAATCGAAAATTACATATTGCACGTTTCATAATAGAGATAAATGGAGATGTAACTAAAAATTTACGTTCTTGATAAAACTTTGATTGCGTTTTTCCACAAAAATTGAAATTTTGACATACTTCGTTATATTATTGAACAAGCGATATATAAACTACACACAATTTTCTAAAATTTGCGTCTAATTTCAAGACCTGACATACGGGTACTCACACATTTTTTTAGTAATAATCTTTAGCATATACATTTCAAAGTCAACTTTTTGATAAGAAAAATAAGAAACTACCAAATAAATGATAAATACATTTACCTGACTATGCCATGACACTTAAGGAATTAATTGCAGTTAAAAAAGCAATACTTGCCCTAACGGGTTTAGCGCCAAAGGCAACTAAAGTGATTAGTTGGTATCGCCCCGATTTCAGTATTTTTTTAGAAACATACCATTCGGGAGAGGGGGAGTGAATAAGTAATCTGAAATTTGATATTAATGACATTTAGTTTTCCCTTTCCAAGTCCATCCGGATTTTTGTTTTATCAACTGTCACCATGACTTTTTCCACCTGCCTTCACAATATATGAACTTTTAAAAGTCTATATCTAAACTTAAAATGCTATTGTAAAATTTTCGTTTAAATTTAACGAAGGTACACAAAGGTGAATATTTTAACCGCAATAAAATTCATCCCATTTACAACATTTACATACCACTGTGCAAAATTCGCCATATATCAAATAAGGTGGTTAAGCTCAATTCTATTTATTGAACAAGTCATAAGGAATACAATATAATACACACAACACATAATATAATAACAACCATGATGATGGTGTTGCTAATGATTGAGGACTTGAGATATTTATCTGTGTAGATAAACCGTGCACACTTCGATTCTTTTATGAAATATGAAACGCTGATTTGCTGATAGAAAAGAGCAGTCCAGGACATACAAAATGAAAAAATAATAAACAAAAAAATGAAAAACTAGAGAAAGTAGTATTATTACTCAAAGATCTGCCTAAAATAACTGATTACAAGAGAGTGAGTCAAAACAAATATGATTCCAGAATTGACATACATATGTAATCGGGAGGCATTTTCTTCTAAACTAATAGTAGATAGTTTCTCAGTAAATGGATAAAGATTAACCCTACCTAGTTAAAATATATCAGCGGAAAGGAGCTGCAACTGGGTCCAATATGAATACCGATCATGCTATTTTGACAATGACAACACCTTACCGCTGTAAATCTTGACATTAAGTCATTACCATATCTCCGTGGAATGACATGAATTGCTTTACGCTTGAACCACGTTGGAAAATAATGCACACTCGAGCAGCATGAAATGGACGACAATTTTGGTCGAAAAATCATATCTGGGAAATGGGCCTACGGTAAAAGGCAAAAAGAAAAAAATGATGTTCTTGAAAAGGAAAAAAAAAAAATCTGGATATTTTAACAAAAGAAAAAATTGTTTCAAAAGTTTTGTATGCCTGATTCCCGCAGCATACGACATGCAACAAAAAGGCAAATAAAAAATAGTTCTGAGTAGCTTTTGAATAATTCTAGAGTTCTGCAGAAAGTATCTACTGCAAAACTAAGTGGACATTTTTTTTTGTTTGCAAAAAAGTTGAAAAAGGAAAATTTCTGAAAAAAAATATATAATAAAGTCTGTTCTGAATGGTTTTTCAGTGGTATTTTTGATTTCATTTTTTTTCTAGGTTAATTTTTAGATTTTATTGTTATAAAAGGAAAAAAAATATAGGTACACATATTTTTTAATTTCATTTCATTTTATTATGTTTTTTTATTTTTTTTTTTATACTTATTTTTTTTTTGGTTTTTATTGATAAAGAAAAACATATGTATACGTGTGTATATTTTTTATTCAATTTAGTTTTTTTAACTTGTTGCTAATCGGCGAACAGCATAACGCCAAGACCTCATCGATAGCAGAACTTTCAATTGGTCTTTCGCAAGACAGTGAAGAACTTTGAAGATAGTTGCCAGAATAGGCAGACTTTTATCTTTCGAATGAGACTGTGCTGAGTTGAAAGACAAATGCCGGAATAGCCCTGTGAAACGCTTGTTCTCGAAAAAAAGTTGTAAAAATTAATTTAAATTTAAATTTTGATCGGCGTGGTACAGTTGACAATAGAATAGGGGATAGAGATAATTTTCTTAAGCAAGTGACACCTGAAAAATTAAAAGTTAAATTATTATTAAAATTGATACTTTGGGAAAGAAAGCGCGTCAAAAGAGAAAAGGGTATTAAATACCTCATTAAAACCCGGAAAAAGGCCCGCCTTTCTAGTGTAAAAATATTGCTACTGGAGTAAAAAAGTCGTGCGCGAACAGCTGACATGAAAAAGATAAAAATTAATAAAAAAAAAGACAAGTTTTCGATACTATTTTTGTTTCGAATATATATTTTGCCTTATATTACTTTTGCCGAAAAAATTGCTAAAATATAGTTTTTGCATGACTTTCAAGAGTTTCTCGACTCTGTGGGTGTGCTTGTGTGAGAATGCTTTTTGCTGGCAGTCTTTCCTAGCATTTTTTGCCATCTCCTCTGTTTTGCCGGTTCATAGTTTGTGGATTTTCGTAGCTATTTTTTATTTTATTTTTCGCTTAGTTACTCGCTTTGTGAGAATTACTTGAGTGCTGTTTAGAGCGCGCGAACGAGCGAAGCTATGATACAAATGTACAAAGTAAAGCGAATAAATATAAATATAAGTACATGCACTCACATATGTATATATATTTCTATACAAAATATACAAGCTAGATGTAATTGTGTATCTGTGTATCGCATATACATATTTCGCGTTGTAAATTTGTATGCGATACGTATAGAATGGAAAAATACAACCCGCATCGCTTAATCAATTTTTGTGTAGAGCTATTGTGTGTTTTTTTTCATTTATTTGGTTGGGTTTTATTGTTTTCTGCAGCACCACATGTTCCCACTCCCCAGCGCGCCATTATCACACATTTTGCGCGAAATACAATAGATAGCAATAAAAGAAGTAATACAAATTTGCAAACATATGTACATAGCATGATTTTTTATACATATGTATGTACATATGTATGCTGTTGCTGACAAGAATAAAAAACTTAATTTAAACAACAACAAAACCTTAACAACTTCCAAAAAGTGAACTACTTTTTCTTTGGCTTGCGAAACAAAAAATATTTATGCAAACATTTTAGTTGAAATTCGTTTTATTTTACTTGCCAAGTTGCTCTTCGCGTTGGCTGGCGCGGTAGTCGGCGCGCCTCGATCGCAGCAAATTTTCAATTTTTTTTTATTTGCTGTACTGCCATCACATTTTTGCTAGTCAAAATTTTTTTTTGCATGTCGCATGGCTTGTTCGTGTATAACATCATCAGTCCAAAAAACCGCCAAACATCGTCGGAGCGGCGGCAAAGCGTAAGGCGGCAAACGCTATAGGCTAGATAAAAAAAATGATGTAGCTACGAGGGTGGGCGAGTTAAGGTTTTTCCACTTTGATCGAAGAAAATATTGAAGAAATGAAGCGTCATGGTCATGTCCTTTTTGGAAAAATTAACAATTTAATAATGGTAAGTTCAAATATATTCCTTCAATAGTCTTCAAGTTGGAGATCACCACAAGCCTTCATATGTTATCGTACTCAGCAAATAGCGCCAAAGTTAAGCTCTAATTTATATCCAGCCGTAAAGATTCCAGGTCGTGTTAAAAATAATAGGGGCACGGACAATTTCACTATCTAATCCACTATAAATCTAAAAATTTAATTAGAAAACGGAAAAAATTTTATCAAAAAAGAAAGAAGTAGTATTAAAGAAAAATCATAAAATAAAAAGAAAAAATAATAAAAAAAAAAAAAAAAATTAATAAAGAATTTCGGGTCTCTGGGACTTCTTCTGGATTTTCGGGACTGTTTCAGGATTTTCGAGATTATATCGAAATCTTCGGGACTCTCAGGATCTTCAAGGTTCTCGAGACTATTTCACCATTTTCGGTATTCTTTGGACTATATAGGCACTTCATAAGTCATACGTCATTTTCGGGACCATCGCGGTGTTTTCGAGATGCTTGCTACTATTTCGTGATTTCCGGGACTGTATCCGAATTCTCGGGTCTATTTTGTGGGTTTCGGGTATATTTCGGGATTTTCGAGAGTATTTGAGGATTTTCGACATACTCGGGAACATTTCGCAAAACCTGGACGAAACATGGAGCCATCACAATAAACCAGGAACCAAGTAATAGTTTAAGTAGTGGACTTCGCCGGTTGTACGTGCCATCAAAGAAGTAAAAGGTGGATCTGTCTGTCAGTTCATAACTATAACTTGAAAAATATTATTTGAGCTGTTGAACATATCGGCGAAGTTCATTTGAAGCAAAAGTGATCGCATTTGGTGAAGAAGAAGAGCGCTTTTACCAAGATGCCTGAGTTATCCATTTTTTTCTCCAGATTTAGTCCCCTGCGAAAATTTGCTGTTTTCAAACCTGCAGAAGCAGCTCTGAGATAAGAGATTTGGAACAAACGTCAATTTTGAGAGCCTTCAGAAAGCCAAGTATTTGAAAGCGATAAAAAAATTTCAAAAAGTTCTGTACTATGTGTATCGAGTTAAAATGAAATTATATTTTGAAATAAGACGTCTTTTGCCAGAAAAAAATCGTTTATTAACGAATCCGCGTTTTAAAAATTTTTGATTTAAAAAAATGGGAACCACCACCCTAGTAAACACGTATATAATATACATACGTGAGTATTTTGCTATCTAAGAAGTCATGTATAGTACATACTAGAGCTTTACGCCGACAGGCTTTGCGGCGGCGGCTGAGTGTTCGATATGTAAACCGGTAACACAATTTAATGGGTTTAGCTTCCAACATAAAGGCGATATATGTATTGCAAAACCTAATATCGCAACAATCAGTGATATAAGAGATAAAGCTTATGCAGCATAGATTTTGACAACTTTCTGAGTAGACTTTGTATTATTATTTATAGAATAGCTTACGAAATTTATCTCAATCGGTTGTATGGGAGCTATATGTTATAGTGGTCCGATTCTTCCGGTTGCGACAAATGATTAATACATTATAAAAATACATCCACCTACCAAATTTCCTCCGGATATCTCGAAAACTGAGAGACTAGATTGCATACAAACAGACGGACATGGCTAAATCGACTCAGCTCTATCTCTTCTTATTCTGTTACTTACAAACATCGGACCAAAGTTATAATACCATTTCATGCTCATGAAAGGTATAAAAAGTGTTTGCTTTTTATTGAAAGTCTGTTTAAGATATTAAAAAAAAAAATACGCAGGAAAATCAACTTGTTTTTGTTTTATCTTTAATAATTTAGGAGTTACATGCAATGAGGCAGCTTCTGTTAAAACTGCTTTCTGAGATATTTGCGTTTAAGTTTTTGATGTGTTATAACTTTCTTGTTGTTGTAGTATGTGTATAAAAAAGTAGTATTTTTGTTGTATTGAAAAGAATTGTCTTCTTCTTCTTCTTTTTTGGCGCTGTAACCGCCTAAGCGATT